AAGAAGTAGTTTTTCCTAAACAACGTGCTAAGCAAACCAAAGCTTCAAAACTATTGATCAACATCACAGAATTTTACAGACCCTCAAAAGCTTCTTTACAATAGGGACAACCAAAACATTATTCTGTACATTGATTATCGCCTGCTTTTCCTTCGCATCTGGAATTTATCCTGAGCCATCTGCCTCCCACTCTCTAGAAGCATCCGTGCTACTAGACCTGTGCTCCATCAGTCTCAGAAAACACTTCAACAGGTACTGTAATTCTTGAACTCTTCCCAAGACTGATGAACTGAGCAGGGATCAAGATACAGTTACTGAACAGCGACAAGATATTAACTACTTTGTCACTATTAATATAAAGTTATAACAAAACCTGATTACAAGAGGAAAAAATTCCTCATTTTTCTTATGTTAAAAGGCTCAAATTTTAGAACAGCATTCTGCTTCAAATAAAAATAGCAAGATTACTTTCTTACTGCTGCTCACTTTAGCTATTTACATCTCTCAACCAATTCATAAGCACCGATTACGTACATTTGACAATGGTCAGACCCCTTCTACCCTAGGGCCACCTCCTAACAATATTGGGTTTTCCTTATATAGCTTCTTTTTTGCGGTCTTGTCTTAACTCAGACTGTAAGCTCTTTGGTGCACAAGAATGCCCTGCATTCATACTGCATCCAGTAGCATCATTCAGAAACTTTTAAAAGCTGTAAGTAAATTACTCGAATTTACTTCTGTTAAGTAGGTCTGAGTGACTTCTACGAAGAATTAAAGGCAGACATCTGAATCAAGAGAGAAGGGAAGGGAAAAAACAAATCACTGGCCCTACAGAAATATTTTAGTGAGACTATAATAAAAATCAGTTCCCACTGAAAGCCAGCTTTGTAGAGTTCTCCCAGTAAATAATCTATGCAAGGTTTGTGCACTGACTTTTGAAAGCCACCACAGAACGTACAGAAGGAAGAAAGTCAAATGGCAACTCAGATTGCTATGATGACATTTACAGCAAAATACAGACATGCATGAATATATGTGTGTTATAACATACATATATATGTATATGCTTCTGTTGTATATGCTACATATATATGTATATATATGTATATGCTGTATATATATATATATATAAAATATGCTTCTTTAAAGCTGCAACACTGTTGAATCTAGGTTTCAGATGGGACAAGCCCGCTGTAAGAAAGCCAGCATGGCTCCAGAGCCATAGTACTTCTGCGAATGACAGGGCAGAATACTCAAGAAGTCTTCAAGAGCTGCAGCAGAACTTGCCAAAAGCTGGGAAATGGAAGGCAAAGCTCTGCGCTCTGTACGGGACTCATGCAGCTGTGAAAAGAAAGCACATCTGTAAGACCTGGTACAAAGCAGTCTTCACTTTCACTTCCTGGCTTGTGTCAACTCAGGTTTTAAATAGCTTGTGCATCTGTAAGTACCCTGCCTTTTTATAAAACAGGGTTCACTTTTTCAATAAAAGTGATACCATAAATGGACAGGGAATTTCAGAGAACAAAAAGTGCCCATTTTCACACAAGGCACCATAGTCTATCATACAGGGGCACTTTATGAAATGGTGGATTTTGGATACCACATATCATGCCATGCCATCTTCCCATCTATTTTATTAGCATCTCAGTTTTCTGGTCATGAATGCCACAGAACAGATTGTAACAGTCTGTAAAGCCAATCCGTCTGCAGTACAAAGCGCCCTGGAAATTACTTTGTTTTCTTAAGTAAAGAAAACGACCCTGCACATGAACCTCAAGGTATTAAAAAGAACAGCTAATTTATTCCATTTGCTGATGAAATTTCAGTTCCATATAGTTTTGAGCCTCCTTTGTAACACCTGAAGAGCCAAGTTTCCAGAAAACAATCTGATCAACAATTGTTACTAACCACCTCAAACAGGGGATCTGAGGTCCAAAAAAGCAGAGGAGCAGGTTAGCTATAAAAGCAGAAGTGCACAGCCCTCTAGAAAATTAGGCCACTCAAAAGAGGTACTGCATACCTCCTACTGACACGGATGAACATGTTACCAGCTGTGTTAAAGAAGAAATTAGTACATTATGGGTTACACATCACACAAATGGGCTCAAATCTTCTATTATCAGTAGGAACAGGTCTTGAACTCATGAAGGTGCTCTTCCACCTCCACCAAGTTACTGGGGCGTCCAAAATTTATTTATACTTGAGAAACTTTCAAAGAACATAAAGAATTTCTAAAAATAAAAGGTCATTTCTGGGCAAAAACCTCCGATCATTACCTGCAATATGTTTTTAGAACAAACAATAATGTTGTTTCCTTAACTGGCGGCCTGAACATTTTTTTTTCCTTACCAACAACTAAAATACCAAGAACATACAGGGTGCTACCGCAGTAAAACAAGCGCTTGACTAACATAATGGGAACAAGAAAGAAAGCTAAGCCGGAGTGGTTTTCTATTCATTTTCAGCTTTCTATACGGCACCTACAGGGGAGTTACAGATACTCTGTGCAATAATTATATCTGCCTTTGCAGACTAACCATAGAAAACAATGCTTCAGCTTCCAAAAAATAATTTCCTCCCCACCCCCCCTTCTTCAGCTACCCGATCTCTGCAAGCTACTGCTAAGAGATGCATTAACACATCAGAGCCATCAACAGCACCTCGCGCTGCTGTACCTCAGGGAGATGCATTATCCGAGATCACTTAGTAGAAACCATTGCTTTCAAACCTGCCTCCCCAGGTGAAATTTCCTAATGTGCAACAGAACAATGGCTTGTAAATCTGCCTCTGTTGACTACCTCAGTGTCAGCTCCCACGACTGCACCTCCATGCAAGCGAAACAATGATCTCGGTCCATCTTACATAAGCCACAAGTCAAATGATAGAGTAGAAAGCTGGACTTGCAGTGCTAGTGCTCGATACCAGTACTCGAACAACACTACCGACTTCAAACTTTAACTTGTTTTTTTAAGAATTCCTGTGGTACGCAATACCTACTTAAAGGCATGAAAATAAGATGTTGCCTTTTCTACTGGGTACACAGTAATTTTTCCTCCTTGTTTGCACTCCAGCACTGGGAACAGATCCATCTTAAAGCAAAAAGGACTGTTTGTTTTGCCAGCTCACCTTACAAATGCTTTTTTCTGTGCATGCCACCACCTAAAAGATTTTTCACTTAGGAAATTTGACAGTGTCGAAGAGAATAGTGCTTCTGTTTCTTTTCCCTCTTTGCTCCCTCCAAAAATGTGCAGTAATGCCAAAGCCTCTTTGTAACTTGGAGGGCATCTTTATTTTGCCTCAAGGACAACACGTGTTTTTTTCCTGGCAGCCCTATTGCCCAAGCAGTTCATCTGCAAAAAAATCAGACAAGCCCAGAAAGAATGGACTGGTCTAAGAGGCAACTACTCTGGTTACTGAAAAATAGAAGAGTATACAGGCCATCAGAACTGTCCCAAATCAACAACAGAAAAAATGAACATTAACTTTTGACCAAGTAATTACATTAATAACAATCACAAAACCCATAAGCACAGACAGTGAAAGAAGAGTCATACAACAGAGAAGAGACAGATGTGTAAACAAGAGACCTGACACAGGTTTAGAGTCTCCTGAAAAATGTTACTTTTAGCAAGCAGGGGAAAAAAAGCTTTTATAAATGCCAGGAGTAGGATAATGCAGCAAAAAGGACAAATATTTTTTTTATAAGCGCCAGAGTTAAATTTACGTGTTTCAATCTGGCTCATTCTCTGCTTATTACTTTTGGTCATTTAATATATATAAGCACTTTATTGGCAAGCAACTCAAACATAAATAATAGCTAATGATGACTGCCTATGGTTTCATTAACTTCTGGTTGAACTTTTCAAGGTAATGCTATAAACACTAGATTACTATCCTGTCATCTAGAGAATCACCATTTTTAGCATTAACTCTGCCATCTAAATTTTGAACCACCGTGACATTATGTATGTATACAACTGCAACAAAAGGAATCAACACAAGTGTACTTATATACAGCAGCTTCTGCATCACCGGACAG